ATCATGGACTGCTTGATGTCCAGTAAAGCTCAGGCACTCAAAACCGCCCAAACTGCAAATTACCATCTCAGCAAAATAGGCAAAATCCACAAGTACATTGAAATGGACACTTACAAAACTCTCATGAATTCCTTTGTCACATCAAAATTAGATTATGGTAACTCCCTTTTGTCCGGATCAACTGTCATCTCGCACCTTCAACGAATCCAAAACAAAGCACTGCAAATAATCACCCATACTCGCCCAACTGAACACATCTCACCCATCCTAAGGCAACTCCACTGGCTTCCTGTTAAGCATCGTATCACATTCAAACGTCTTCTTGTCACGTACTCCACACTTAATGTGGACTCCTCATGACAGTATCTCAAAGACCTTCTTAATCTGTACCAGCCCATAAGAACTCTCAGATCCTCAACCAAGCAGCACCTCTCCATCCCATCTACGTCTGCACAACTCGCTGAAAATGCCTTCTCTGTATATGCCCCTTGACTCTGGAACTCCATCCCAATAAACATGAAATCTGTGGACTCAGTTCAATCCCTCAAAAAGTCTCTAAAAACATTTTTGTTTAGCCATTAACTCTTTTCCACTGCTTTCCTCGAAGTGCCGTTGAGCAAGTCTACTAAGCAAGTCTGCATTTTCGACAAAAACTGAAAACAAAAGTTTTTTGGCAGTGCATCTGTTCAATTCTTGGTGTGAAGAAAGACAAAAACGATTCCCCAACTCAAAACAACATGACCCTTTGACTTTGGCAAGAAATGAATCCGATCTGAATCGAACTTTAATGCTATTTATTACCAAGGTTTGAAAGCAGAATGGGAAAGAATACCGTGGGAACTCTCTGTAAGAGATTCTCACTTCTTTACAGTACTATATCCGGAGAAATGGTATCCAATTAAACTTCTTCACTGAGTACCATTACAAAGGCCTGAGAAACATACTAGATGCCAAAATGAAAGCATTGGTTAGACAGGGGATAGGAATCACAAAGCGACAGGCGAAAGTCATAACAGAGGAAGAAGAGGATATTTTGTGGGCCAGATCTCTTTTAGGGAGCGATTCTCCACAACAGCTCAGTGACACCCCAATCTACTTGATTGGCCTTAATTTTGCTCTCAGAGCAGGAGACAAGCATCGATTTTTGCGTGTAGGCAAAACATCCCAACTTAAGGTAATCCAAAACGTGAATGAAGGGTCCAAGTACCTAGTTTATACTGAGGACATGTCCAAGACCAACAGGGGTGGCCTTAAACACTGGAAATGCGTAGTAGTGAAGGTGTCTCAGAACAACAGGTGGCCAGAGAGATGTTTGGTTTGTTTATACGAAATGTACTTGAATCTAAGGTAAGATATCAGGAATATGTCACTTACAATTAATATTATAATGACTGATATTGAACATTGATGTAAATATAATATAATATAAATATTAAGACATGATTACTCTGCACTGCCCTTATGTGCAGCGGAATCTGTCGTGACCTTGACCGTATTTAAACAAATATTGTATACCCATTAGCAAACAGTTTGTCTGCACTTTCAGGCCATATAATGGTACTTGCCAGGCATTTTATCTCCAACCACTTCGTTACCCTAAGACAGCTGTTTGGTTTGCTGATGTCCCGATCAGCCGTCTTTGCAAGGTTGCAGGCTTCAGTGGTTTCTATACCAACCATTCGCTTAGAGCGACCACAGCAACTTAACTTTACGATGCTGGACTTGATAAACAGTTGATCTGCGAGCAAACTGGACACAAATCATCAACTATCCATTGTTATAAGGTATGTGTTTTGACACCTATTAAAAATACTAAGTACGTATCTACTGATGCTATCACGATGGATGTACAGTTGATTCATAGCGAGGATTACTGAGTCAAACTTGTATCACGACTAATTAACTTTATATATAGTTTGTTAACCTTAATATTAAACACATTTTTTATTATGCTCTAAAGGAGTAGGGCATATTGTATTTCCCAAAGTTGAAAGTTACACAAAAATGTTTTGAATTATGTTTAGAGAACCTCTGAACAACTGACGGCTAAAGTGGACAGTGTTGTACAAAGGAAGTTGAGGAAGGTGGGTCCCGAACAGATACGACAAGTATGGCACCTACTTCAGGAACTGTTACTGAGACTACACCGTCCAAAGACCTAAAAAAAAGTACATGTGGGATAACCATGGCTCTTCAAGACGGCACCTACCTGTCCGTGAACTTGTGAGCTCGAGTGAACAAGCGATTCCTAATATAAGTGAACACATCAAACTGCCAGATGTTAGTTTTGTTTGTTGTTTTGTATAATTTGTATAATAATGTAACAAGTACAAAATATACAAATTGTAAAATGTCCTGGAAAAATAAACTATTTTAATATGTTTTGTCTTATTTACCTGTTTGGAGTCAATTCATAACACCTTAAACAATACAACTGTCAGTGAAAAGGTTTACAGTTTCACAAGTAAATGATTTGTATATAGTCACCACTGGATCATGGGTTGAAAGTAGTTCCTATGCAAATTAGCCAAATCTTAATGAGGTCAGGTCTGCTGTCTTGTCCTTGGTTTTCATTGGCTGAAGATGTGCAGCATCTTGATTGGATGTTGAATTTAGTTGCATTTGAAAGTGTGAAGTTTGTTCACTTGCTGTCTTTCTCCAAACCTGGCAAGGTGGTTTGAAAGTCATGGATGGAGGATTTTGACTTTGGTGAATTACAGGTTAGTTACACTTGGTTTTATATAAAAGGAATAAAATACAAAAATATGTTAAATTGTTGAAAGGTTAATTCAGTATTTATTGTAGCTTAGAAGTTGTTGGTGTCAATAATTTCACTTACAATTGATTCAGATAAATGTTTGAGTCCAAACAGATTGTACGTTTACTAATTACTGGTGAGAATTAGCATTTCCATGCTAATTACGGCATACACATTTTAGGTCCTTGCTTAATGTTTTTTTGGTTAGACTAGAATCTGATGATCATCCACCCTTCCTGATGTACCACTGTTTAGGTTGAAGAAATTCTGCCAAGGTGGAAAGTAGCCCAGTCCCCGTGTCTGTCACGGTCGAGGGAGCAGGTTATGACCAGCTTGCAGCTTGGTTTCGTAATTAGACTGTTGGCGAGAAACATAAATCGATCTGGATCAGTGCCCCTTTAAGACATACACCACCAACAACAACAAAAACAACATCTATAATAATTACGATGCCTGTAATTTTCAGTAAATTTGGCCTAGCTCCCTACAATGAGTGGATGATATAGAAAAGCGAATTTCAAACAGAATTCAAAACTGCGAAATTGTGGTGCATTTGGATATGGTTTTGACATCAAAGTGAGGGTTGAAGAGGAGGGACATAAATTGTACGATTCATGAAGAAATTAAGTAGCTGGCACATTCACCAAAGGCTAGCTAGTGCATATACGTTTTAGTTTTGCTGAAAGAAGGTGAATGTTATACAATTTGGTTACGGGTACACAAAGCCAGCAGATGGCCAGGCAAAAAGACGGTTAAAACAGTAGCCTACGCATTGAAACAGTAGCCTGCGCATTGAGACAGAAGAACCACACCTATACCTGCACCATATGAAATGGTTCTAATAGGGTATAATGACATCATTCGTTTATAAGTTAGGCACCTATGACATCATTTGCAAGGGACATTTGGTGTGTAAATTTTGGACATAAAACTTTTGGTACATGAGCAAAACATGAATTGATATGCAAAAAGTAAATAAGTTTGGTTATAAGACTGCTTGACAAACACATTTTATGATGATAAAGTGTAAGACAAAAAGGTTAATTTTTGTGCAAGACAAAAAGGTTAATTTTTGTGTAAACTTGCCCTTTAAATACAAGTAAGACATGTTTTCATGTCATTGAGTGTAACTTACATATTTAGTATTGACAGAAAAGTGGTTGACCTCAATAAACAGTCAACAGTTAAACACTTCTTGGTGAACAAGAAGTTTCAAGAGTGAATCCTAAATCCTGAATGTGTTCCCATTTTACAAGGAATAGGGGCTGTTATCTATGGTGATTGGATATGAAAACAAGAACTATGCACCATTATAAAAGCATATGAGTTCTTGAATCTAAGTTACATCACTGACTTTAATCACATGAAACTATGACAGTTGTTGATCGTGTCATCGGTAAATGATTCACCAACACAGACTAAACAAGTGCCCAGGTGGCTGAGAAGACCGTGTTGTAGGATGGAAAGATGTTATCTTGTTCATGGTTGGCTTGTCTACAGATATCTTCAACTATAAATGATTAACAAGGAAAGTCATCCATAGTAATGTCAGTTAGAAGGTCAGAGGTCAAGAAGGCCTTATTGCTTTTAATTTGTTTTGGGGTGATAGTACATACTTTTTGTCAATTCATGAAATATTTTGGATGAGGAATTTTTTTTTGTCATTAAATTTTATGATGTAAATGTACATGCGTAAACGTGATCAAGGTTAGATTTATAAATCCATTGGTAAATGCCAACCCATCTATAATTCCAAACACTGTTCTATTTTTGTCATCTCAAATACTTCCTAATGTATAATTCGATAACATGTAGTGAAAGGCAAAACAAACTTTCCCGATTTGAAACTACTTTGATTTAGAGATCATTTCCCAGAATTTTCAGATTTGTGATGCCAACTATTACGCTATACAGGTGTAAAGTCAAATCAAGATATTTCCTAACATTAAAAGTGCAGAACAAATATGTTCATTCACGCAAAGTTTCTTTTGCCTCAGAGGAGATGATTTTGACAGAGGACAGTATTTTGCTGACAACATAAACTACTGAATCTCCAGTCACAGAAGCTAAAGCAACTTTCTCCTAACAATATATACCTCTGTTCTTAACTATGTCCCTTTTATTTCTTGGACGCACCTCAGCTAAATGTAAGGTTCTATAACTTGCTTCTATGTGATAGATTTCCAGAATTATGTCCAATACTAGAAAGACTCTAGTACTTAATGATCAGTTCCAGACTTACCTTGTCTGACAAATGTTTGGTTAACATCCAAGAGTATGTCACAGCCTTCAACAATCATCCGTTCTATGGACAGGTTCTTCCGAATGTTCTCTGTTTCACTGACTTCATCATGCATCACCTGTATACACATATATATGCTCAGTTGTTTTTACACGAAATAATCTTTCATTAACTTGAAACAAACAAGTAAGATTTTTTTTACAAACCCATACTCTCAATCTAGAAAAATGTATATACACAAAGTAAAGTCCTAACATTAAAAGTGCAGAACAAATATATTTCCAGAATTATGTCCAATACTAGAAAGACTAGATAAGACTAGATAAGTACTAGAGTCTTTCTAGTATTGGACATAATTCTGGAAATACAACAAAGTATTTACACTTCTTCAAATAAGGTGACAGCTTCTTTCACCAATACTTATCTATATTCAACTTTGTTAAAGAAAAAGAAAATTGCCTCTAATTTCTCAGATTACATATTCCTCAACATCAAACATAAAAAAAATGAAAAGAACATGCCCAATGCTTCCTGGAATAAAGAACATGTGTGCACCTCTTGTTGAATGTCATCACTTCCAGTCTGGAAGCAAATGTCATTTACAGAGCCACTTTCTAACAAAAGTTGCCAAAAGTATAACTACCTTATCCCTTGGGTGGTATCTGTTTTTGCAATAAGTCGCCAATGATTTATCTGAAACGTAGCCTAGAATCGGATGAAATGTTTTGGAAAATATTCAAATACCAATGCCGAAGTAAGCTTCCACCATATTGGATAGTGTTTAGAAAATGGCATTCCACGTAGGCTGGTCATAAGATGCTTATTATATCAGCTGCGACACATATATTACTGAACTCCACATTCATATTTGAATCAAATAACAAATTGTCTTTGTCACCAATACTGAGTGTCTAGATGAAATCTAACAAAATATATGTAGGACTCAGATCTGTGGTGGGTCTCTAATCTATGGCGGGTTTCCTAATCTGTAGCAGGTTTGATTGTTCGATTGTTTCTTGACGTCATCTCCCAATGACGTCATAATCGCTAACTGTTCCCGACGTTATTCAACACTAGCCGTTTGTGGCGATAGTAATCTCAGGGAAATCTTCAAAGCTAAGAAAATGGAAACCACAGAAAATAAATGATGGTTTTGTAATTGCGGAGCCACCTACAAAGAAGAAGGAGAAACCCGTATCAAAAGATCCCAATGACTGGGAAAACATATCTGGTGAGTATGCTTTCAATCACACTCGTTTTACCAAATTGTAGATAAGTTTTAAATACCCAAATAATTATTAGACTATCATTTTAGCTCTATAGCTCTATATGAAATATGTGAACTACATGTATCCACTTTAATCTTATGTATTGTGTCGACTATCTTCTTTAGCCCTAAGACTATAATCTTAATCACAAGCCTTTGCTCAGCTACTTTGATTCTTACTAAACGCAAAAGATAACTTTCGATCACTCATTATCCCACTGATATCAGATAACTGTTTTATCTTTTACAGATAATAGTCTCGAAGGGAACCTTGCTATCGTGCAAGTCAGTGAATGTTTGGACTCTTGCTGGGACCAAAATCAGAACATCCAGGTAAACCTAAGACTAGCAAGCGACTAATTTAAATCATTTTGAATTAAGTGGAATTGATACAATAAAATGTGTAGGCCTATGGAATAAAGTTTTACAACAATCAGTTCTCACAAAACCATAAGCTATAACTCCAATCTAATTAAAACCAGATCTAATGGTATACGTCTCCTCAGTCTGTCATTGTATAACTCCTAAGTAAGACCATTGCGTTATATTACTCATGTCGTCAGGGATTAATTTTATAATGATACTTTGTATTTCAGGACGGTGTCAGCGACTGCTACAGGACTCTCTACAACAGAAGCTTCAACGAGGACAAGAATGATGAGCCGATCGCTTATGTGGAGGTATTAACGATAGAATCATAGATAACAGCAAAATATTAATTCAAAATTGTGGCAAACCTTTGGTGATAAAAATGATTGCTCAATTAAAACAATGATAAAGGATGATTAGTAGAAATACTCAGGAATAAAGATCTGTAATTAATCCTTTCTTTTATTGTTTCCAGTTCGAATCCCCGCCTCCTGCACAACGACCGGCGATGTGTGACGTCACATGCGTCAGCGTGCTACACTAAGAGACTTCCCGCTGGAGCAGTTTGCAGACAAGCTCGTGACGGAAGATGAGTTCTACCCACGGGATGAACAGGTGGTCTATTTCAGACCAAACCCTGTTATGAACAAGGGCTTCGCTGTTTTTACCAGCAGCTTCTGGAGACCAGTAACTGTCACCTCATCTAAGAACTCTAACTGTGGCTGAGTGTACGAGGTGATGGACATTCAAAGCTCTCATAGCTTCCAGTTGAACAGACATCAGATCCGTGATGAACAGATTAAGATGTAAAATAAATAAATGTTTTTACACGTTATTCACTCTGTTGTCTTTCTTTATGAATTGTTGAATATTTAAAGGAAAGCAAACGCATTCGATAATTAGCATTTCGAAGCTCTTTTAGTTCTATGATAGTCGTAAAACATTAGCACTATTGAAAGACGATCTTAGCGGTAACAGATCTTCGAAAATCTAGGCCCAGGGTTATCAGTAAGTTAGAAACACATAAATGAAATGCCATTAACCCCTATTCTACCTAGCTGAAATGTTCTAATGACGATGAGTAGGAAATCCACCACAGATTAGGGTAGATACGGCAACTAGCCATGGATTTGAAAATCTGCCAAGGATTTGGAAATCCGCCACGGATTCGATGCCTGCCATGGATCCGAGTCCTACATATATCTCATGTAAAAACGAATGCTGAACATTCTGAAAACTCTGCTTGTTTGAAATGTAAACAAAGAAGAATTCAGATTCTACAGTTTTGAGAGATCCAATTGTCTAATCTTTATTAATGTTTTTTGTGAGGACATCAGTTTTCCACTCAATTTCATGATTAGGATTATTCACAATGTGTTGAGAAACTGCAGATTTTTCATATCCAATTTCAACCATCATGACCCCACAACAATCAACACCCTAGAATTAAGTTTACAGTGGAAACAGAGCAGCAGAACAAACTCCTTTTCTTGGACATCACCATTGACAACTCCAACAACCAGCTCACCATGTCGAATAACTATTAGTGACTGGCAGAAATGCAAGTTGATTGAAGCTATCTTCATCAAACGTACAAAACCAGCAATAAACAGGGATCAGTGTATGTGAGACCATGGTCCAAGGGTGTAATAGATTAGGGTCTCTGGATGCTACCATAAGAATAATAGTCAACCACAGCCAACAAGAATAAGCTTTATTGATGATGGTGAAGATGAGTGTATGTACCTGCACAAAAAGGAGAATGTCTCTCAGTGAGGACACAGGCACACACTCTATCACATTTAACAACATTTGCAAAACAACACACAGTTTGGTCAACCATAAATGTATCTAGTGACATTATATTAATATCACAAGCATTAAATCAATCTGTGAACAGTATGCTATTGTAACAATGTACATGTGCCAACTATGACTTTTCGTGTTAATAGAAAAACTGTCATGGCCGACATCAACAAGCACATGGCCATTGTCAAGTTTATGATTTAACTAGCTTATGTTAGAATAAATAACCAGATATTTTAATTGAAGTTAGCATTCATGTATATCTTAATTGATAGTTAATAAATTTAACAGATGTTTAACATATATTGACATTTTTTAAATTTAATAAACTTATGCTTAACTTATCTTTTTAATGAAACTGTAAAAGGTTGACTCACCTGCACAAAAAGGAGAATGTCTCTCAATGAGGACACAGGCACACACACTGAGAGACAATGTACAAGTGGGCAACTAGTGGGAAAACTATGGAAGACCAATAGGGCCTGTCACAGCCAAGAAAATAATTGTTTGGCATAAGAAACCAATCAGTGGCAGGTAAGTGGCAAAGAGGTGTGTCTACTTATAGAAAAGAAGAATTGAAATGAATTGGGATGATTCCCAATTCAGAAAAAGAAGAAGGTGAAAATTAGAAGAACCAAGATGGTGACCAGTGTTAGTAAACAAGCAAGACCAGACAATGAAATGACATGACATGAGTGCTATTACAGCACCCAAATGGCACTTAAGGTAATTTTAATATTTTATTGAAAAGTTATATTGTTTTGTTTTTGGTTTTATAATAAAATATGCATGAACTGAAATATGCCCAAACTATATACAAAAATACCACACATTCTTTTTCAGCAGAATGAAATATACCACACAGCTACATAAGTACCTCCCGAATGCATGGTGCATAAAACAATAGACCGCCTCCGTGGTGTAGTGGTTAGAGCGTCCGCCCAGAGAGCGGAAGGTCGCGGGTTCGATCCCCGACCGCGTCATACCGAAAGACGTTAAAATATGGTACTTGTTGGTCCCTGCCTGGCGCTCGGCATTAATGGGTACAACAAGGACTGGTCAGCTCGGAGTCAGTATAATGTGTCTGAGTGGGATATTCATGCTTCACTGCGGCATGGTATCTCAGTGGGCTAGCACTATAAAACCAGCTTCAGTCTGGGCTAGTACAAGCAGCCGCACATACACCTACACACGCATGCATGTCATCATATGAGCGAAATATTCTCAAGCACAACGTTAAACCCAATTTCACCTCACCATAAAACAACAGACAATACCCTACCTTCGTCACTGTTTCATAAAAACACTGTACCCATGTACAAACCATAATTTTTATGTATACACTGTAATTACTTTACTTTCTATACATTTATAAATAAGTATCTACATTTCTAAATTAATCAATAATTGTGTACAATAAGTACATTTCTAAATAATTTTGCAGTAAACAATATTTTATCTATTAGCCCTGTTAGCTGTATCCATTATGCCCTCCACATGTATTGCGTCGTCAAGCATTGCGTTGTCATAGCATTGTGACATCATAAGCATTGTGACGTCATGGGCACAGTTAAAAGTCAAATTTCGCAAGTACAGGGGTATATCTGTGCTGGACTTTATGTCTGACATTGAATCATCTCCTTATCTACAGCGATGTGAAGGCCCCCTCGAAGATT